AGTTGGATAGCTAATCAATTTCTATAGATGGCAATCTTCTTGGTGGTCTCTTTGCATTTAATCTGAACTGTCAAAGAAAAAAATATCTAGTTCTAGCAAGAGATTGTTAACTAAATGGAAGGCAGAGAAATTAAAAAGCTATCACTTTAAACTACTGGCAATTAAAGTGAGACACTCTCATTGTAAAATCTTTAGGTTGGGCGTGGTGGCTCATGCCTGTAATCCCAGCACTTTGGGAGGCCAAGTAGGACAGATCACCTGAGGTCAGGATTTTGAGACCAGCCTAGCCAACATGGTGAAACCCCATCTCTACTAAAAAATACAAAAGTAAGCTGGGCATAGTGACAGGTGCCTGTAATCCCATCTGCTTGGGAGGCTGAGGCACGAGAATCACTTGAACCCAGGAGGCAGAGGTTGCAGTGAGCTGAGATTGTACCACTACACTCCAGCCTGGGCAACAAAGCGAAATTCCATCTTAAAAAAGAAAAGAAAAGAAAAGAAAAGAAAAGAGGGAAGGAGGGAGGAAGGGAGGGAGGGAGGAACGAATGAACTCACTGTTACCATCACTTGCTGGATACAAATATAAACTCCTCTCCACAGCACTAGTGGCCCCTGGTGATCAGAAGCCTGCCTAAGTAACTGACCTCACCTCTGGCCGCTCCCTGCCCACCTCCTTGACAAACAGGAAAGACACGTTAATTTCTGGTACACACCAGGCTCTACACTCCCACTACAGACCAGGTGGAGAAAATGTCCCTGACGGGGACACTGTGGAGCTGTCCAAGAGGCTTTGCCCCAGCCACCACAGCCAGAATCTTCAAAAAGATATGGTCCTCCAGGGGGACCAAAGGACACTCATCTGAATCTACAAAAGAACCCCTCACCTGGATCCCTTGCAAAGGCACCCAGCAGTGCACTAAGGCCAGCACATCCAGATATGAATACACCTGAAGTAAGTGGATTCTGAGCCTATTTAACCAGCACAGCTACTTAAGTGGACAGAGGGAGAGACTGCGGTCTTAGGGCTTGGAATGACTATGCTAGGCCTGGAACCCTGATCTTCTGACTAAGCCTGTGCCATTCCAATTCCGCTGCTCATCTCTGGTAGAAGGACCCACCAGGAGGCAAGTGGAGACTGGGCTGAGGGAGAAGCACCCCTGAGTGACTCTGACAAGAAAGGATAAAGGTCCACAAAGACCCATGTAGGTCAACCACCTGGCTCCAATCTGTCATAAATCATCCTCCCTCACTCAGGAAATTCACGTACTCCTTGAAATTATGTGCAAAATTCTGAGTTGGTACATTTTTCAGAGAGGGTTTATTGCTTTCATGAAATCCTCAAGGAGATTGGCATCCCTAGTTTCCCCACCAAAAAAAAAACAACAACAACAAAAAAAACCCAAGACACAGACCCAGTGGTTAACATGTTTTCAAAAGGCCAAGGAGAAACCTTTCCTGTCATTTCAAGTGCCCTGTCACCAGTCCTTTCCATCTGCTTCCACCTGTCCCTCTTCCCAAGGTCTAGACCTGCTTCTCACCTTTCTGCTCAGTAATCAGGTGCTGCACAATGACATCAGTCATGCTATCCCTGTAGGCATAGCAGTCCTTGTAGAGCCCATGGACTGTGCTGAAAATAAGCTGGTAGAAGGAAATGGTGCTGTCCTGGCAGCCAACCACCTGCAGGGTGACAGAACTGTCAATTCCCAGCTCTCTGGAGACAGTCTGCACTCCCATTTGTCAGACACAAACCCCAGTGATATGTCTCTCGAGACATGGTGGCTGCTCAGTGCCTCTTCAAGCCATGGCCCCACAGAACAAACTTCCTCTTCTTACCACATAGTTGGAATCCGGTTTCACTTGACACGTCCATACCCAGGAGTTCTGCTCCCCAACAGTCCCAAGCCGCACTCCATCCTTGGTGAAAAGAGATACTTGCTTGTCTGAACCCCCCAGCAAAATGTACTCCTCTTTAGTAAAGTAGCTGATGCAGCAGGGGTCAAAGTTCAGTGCCTGATCCTTTCCAATCTGAGGAAAAAGAACACACACCAAGGGAAAAACCATTTCCGAATCCATAACCATTGCAATACAATTAAGGGCTTTTCTCGCCAACTTTAGAGGGAGTTGGGAAGACAGGGATAGCTGGCCAGCCTTTTCTCCCGTGTCATCCCATGGTGAACACGGGCCTCTCTGCCTCTCCATCTCCCTACTCCCCAACCACACAGCCCAATCCTCAGCTCCTAGAGTCAGTGGCACCTCCCCTAGGCCCACCCAAGTGCTCCAGGAGTGCAGGAGCGTGTCAGGGCTCCTCAGCCAAGATGGAGACTGGATGGTTTGGCTCCCAAAGGCCCCCTCCTCTGCACATATAGTTATTGCTGTGGCTCAATGGGTCCCCTCAGCTTCTTTTTTCCATCTCTTTTTAAAAAGCATTTTGCAGGCCGGGCGTGGTGGCTCATGCCTGTAATCCCAGCACTTTGGGAGGCCGAGGCTGGCGGATCATGAGGTCAGGAGATTGAGACCATCCTGGTTAACACGGTGAAATCCCATCTCTACTAAAAAATACAAAAAACTTAGCCAGGCGAGGTGGCGGGCGCCTGTAGTCCCAGCTGCTCAGGAGGCTGAGGCAGGAGAATGGTGTGAACCCGGGAGGCGGAGCTTGCAGTGAGCCGAGATTGCGCCACTGCACTCCAGCCTGGGTGACAGAAAGAGACTCCATCTCAAAATAAATAAATAAATAAATAAATAAGTCTTTTACAAAGCTGATTTTATTCAGTTGAAAGATTGTCCTTTTTTCTGCAACTATGCCCATACTATTACTCTTTATAACAACTTTTTTGAGATGTAGTTCACATACTGTACAATTCACCCATTTAAAGTGTATGATTGCCAGGCGCAGTGGCTCACGCCTATAATCCCAGCACTTTGGGAAGCCGAGGCAGGTGGATCACTGGAGGTCAGGAGTTCGAGACCAACCTGGCCAACATGGTGAAACCCTGTCTCTACTAAACATACAAAAATTAGCTGGGTGTGGTGGTGGGTACCTGTAATCCCAGCTACTTGGGAGGCTGAGGCAGGACAATCGCTTAAACCCAGGAGGCGGAGGTTGCAGTGAGCCAAGATCACACCATTGCACTGCAGCCTGGGTGACAAGAGTGAAACTCTGTCTAAAAAAAAAAAAAAATAGTGTACATGTCTTTCAGTATAGTCACTGAATTGTGCAATCATCGTCACCATCTAATTCTAGAACTTTTCCATCACCCCAAAGTAAACCCCATTAGTAGTCTATCCCAATTCCTCCTCCTCTTCAGCCCTGGCAACGACTAACATACTTTCTGTCTCTAAGGATTTGCCTATTCTGGATAATTCATATAAATGGAGACATACAATATGTGGCCTTTTGTGTCTGGTTCATCCATGTTGTAGCATGTACTGGTACTTCCTTGTTTTTCATTGCTGAATAATATTCCATTGAATGACAGATGATATTTTATTTATCCATTCGTCAGTTGATGGACATTTGGGTTGTCTCTACATTTTGGCTATTATGAATAAGGCTGCTGTGATTATTCATGTACAAGTTTTTGTGTGGACATATGTTTTCATTTCTCTTGAGCATATACCTGAAAGTGGACTTGCTGGGCATATAGTAATTCTATGTTTAACATTTTGAGGAATTGCTATTCATTTCCAAAGTGACTGCACCATTTCATATTTGCACTAGCACTGTACGGAGATTCCCATTTCTCCGTCCTAGTGAGTGTGAAATGGTATCTCATTGCAGTTCCAGTTTGTATTTCCCTGATGGCTAATGATGATCATCATTTCATGTGTTCATTGGCCACAGAGAAATGTCTATTTGGATTCTTTACCCATTTTTCAATTGGGTTGTCTTTATAGGTTTGTTGTTGTTGTTGTTGAGACAGAGCCTTGCTCTGTCACCCAGGCTGGAGTGCAGTGGCATTATCACAGCTCACTGCAGTCTAGAACTCCTGGGCGCTCACATGATCGTCCCAGCTCAGCCTCTCGAGTAACTGGGACTACAGGCATGCGCCACCAGCCCTAGCTAATTATTTTATTTTTGTAGACACAGAGTCTTACTATGTTGCCTAGGCTGGTCTTGAACTCCTGGGCTCAAGCAAATCTCCCGCCTCAGACTCCCAAAGTATTGGAATTACAGGTGTGAACCATAGTGCTCTGCCAATTTTCACAATAATCTTAAATGCAAAAGCTAAGCAAAACGAATTAAGAGTAACTTTAAAAACTAGGCAGTTTGGGAGGCAGTGGCTGCAGTGAGCCGTGAGATGGCGCCTTTGCATTCCAGCCTAGGTGACAGAGGGAGACCCTGTCTAAAAAAACCAAAAAACCAAACAAAACAAACAAACAAACAAAAAAACAACTAGGCAGTAGCTCGTGCCTGTAATCCTAGCTACTCAGGAGGCTGAGGCAAGAGGATCGTTTGAGCCCAGGAGTTCAAGACCAGTCTGGGCAACAAAGTGAGACCTCATCTCCAAAAAATGTACAAACAAAAACTAGGCCATTTAGCATAATGGTTAGGGCATGGAGTTTGGAGTCAAGTCTCCAAATTTCACCTTCCACATATGCAAAATGGAGACATAATAGGGGTACGTTATAGAATTGTGGTAGGCATAGTGAACTCCATCGCATGTTAGCTATTATAGTTTCGTTACTATTTACTGTCTAAATTCGGTGAGGAAATTATTAGGAAGTCTCTGTCTTGTTCTCTTCTGACCACTAAGAGGCGCACTTCGGAGTAGAAGAAACGCGGGCGGAAATGGCCCAAAAGCGGATTGGCTTCAACTTCTGGCGGAAGTAAGTTCCTCCCTCCACCAGGTCTTATTAGCTCAGAAAGAATTCCAAATTTCTACGTAGACCCAAGGATAGGTAGAATACATTTTTCAGTCACATTCCTAGATATTACGGTCTATTAAAACATGTATACTCAGAATTTTTTGCGGCATTATTTTTTGACGTGTCTTTATTTTATTTGAAAGAGCCGAACCGGAAGTGCTTGCCTTTTCCCTGCCAGGACCCAGGGGGTTACGTCCCATCAGCCCTTGCGTGCCACTGTCCCTTCTCTCTTCCTCGGCGCTGCCTACGGAGGTGGCAGCCATCTCCTCCTCGGTAAGTCTTAATCCGTGACCATCCGCATTCCTGCGGGATTCATCTGGCCCCGTTGCCCAGTGGTGCGGGGGCCTCCCCTTCGGCGCGGTAGTGGCTGTGGGTATTGTTATTGTCAGCTTACTGGGGCGTGTACAGGAGCAGAACGAAGCAGCCCGGGTTGATGGGGCTTTGCGTCCCAGAGCCTCCTGCTCTCCGCTTGTAGTCAGAGCTGCGGGCTGCTTGTTTGTTCCTTGGCGGTAGAGGCTGCTAGTTGACCCCAGACTGCGGGGTCTCCTGTGGGCCGTGGGACGACCAGGGGTGTCCCAGCTTGACAGCCGTCAGCTGGGATCTGTGGATCACAGCGCTCACCGATGTCGGCCCACGTGTATTCGTTCATTGCTATAGCCCGCTTCTTCGCTGCAGTCTCTGGCCCTAGGGCTGCTGCGGCTGCTGGTTCAGTTGCAGGCAGAAATTCTGGTAGTATCTCTGGAAATAAGATGCAGCTGCCCCCACCTTGCCTTCGAGGATATCATGGGCCAGAAGGCAAAGTCGTTTTGAATACGTGGTTCACTGATTACCCACTCTGTGCCAGTTGATGGCTGCGAACAGAAGGGTTGCTGCTGTAGGAAATAAATGAATGGCTTTGAAGACCACACTGAGGAAGGTGTGAGTTGATACTGCAAGGTCTCCAGGTTTGAGGCACCCTTAGATGGATATGATGGTTTTGTGTGTGTTGAGGGTGTGGTAGTGCAGCAGCTCCCTAGGGAATTAGAAGGTTTTCTTTATTAAACGTTTACCCTGAGACAGGCACTGCAGGCGTTCAGCGTGCAGTGTCATCTCTATTCTACAGGTGAGGAAACTGAGACTCAGGTCCAAGTAGATGGTCAAGGCCATCTCGGGGTTCGGACACTGGCGAGGTGGGATTTGCTGCCCCTTGCAAATTGAGAGTGTCTTGGGGTCGGTTTTGGTTTGCTCAGCCGTTGGCATTCTTTGGGCTCTGAGCGGTTGAGTTGACCTTTGACCTCCTGGGATCGCGTCTGGAGAGTGCCTAGTATTCTGCCAGCTTCGGAAAGGGAGGGAAAGCAAGCCTGGCAGAGGCACCCATTCCATTCCCAGCTTGCTCCGTAGCTGGCGATTGGAAGACACTCTGCGACAGTGTTCAATCCCTGGGTGGGAAAACCTCCTTCCAAGCCTCCTTCCAGGATTCTTCCTCACCTGGGGCTGCTTCTTTCCCAAAAGGCATCATGGCCGCCCTCAGACCCCTTGTGAAGCCCAAGATCGTCAAAAAAAGAACCAAGAAGTTCATCCGGCACCAGTCAGACCGATATGTCAAAATTAAGGTATGTGGTCCTGGGATGGAAATGGGTGTGGGGTGAAGAAAGAAGTTTCCAACAGGCTGTCGGTTTCTGACATCACCTAGTCGGGATCACCTTTGACCTATGAACTGGTTTGTGGAAGAGCTTTCTGTAGAAATACAGGTCTCCCCCATTGTGCCCTAGTGCTGGTACTTAACATCTCTTGATGTGTTAAGTGAAATTTAAATGAAAAGGGACACTTGGCTATTTTGATGTGTTTAGAGGGCTTTGCATTTGTGTTGTGTATTTTGGGTTGCCTTATGACAGCAGGATCCCTATTTTATAGACAAGAAAACTCAGAGGTGCTGAGAGCCGTGTCTGCAGCTGTGCTCGCCATCTCAGTATCTACACAGTCCCCTCTTATCCCACTGTGCCTCCTCCATTGCTTGGGAGTAGGAATGGTGGGGGTGCCTGCATTCCTAGTGGCTAAAGCCACGAGCTCCTGGTTTTTCCCACCAAAAAAGTAAGGAAATAGTGAAGTCCTGTCACCAAAGGCAACTACTGTGTGGCACACTTCCTTTTCATCTGGTCCTTTTTCCCTCCCCAAAGGAACAGTTGGCACTTTGCACAGACGCTAACCCACCTGTGTGTTATTTCCTTCAGCGTAACTGGCGGAAACCCAGAGGCATTGACAACAGGGTTCGTAGAAGATTCAAGGGCCAGATCTTGATGCCCAACATTGGTTATGGGAGCAACAAAAAAACAAAGCACATGCTGCCCAGTGGCTTCCGGAAGTTCCTGGTCCACAACGTCAAGGAGTTGGAAGTGCTGCTGATGTGCAACAAGTGAGTTGGGTCCCACCTCTAGTTTTCAGGGATCCGAAGTTTGCATGTGTGTGAGCACTTCTGGCAGGAACTCTAGAAACTCTTGGGGGATGCATTTTGGCTGGGAGGGGTTGTACATTCTCTGAGGGAATCTGAAGTTGTTCCTTGCGGGATTTTAGAGAATGCTTGTTGGGGAGGAAAGAATTTGGGGAGTTTAAGGTGTTTCCTTTACCGGAGGGAGGAGACTTGGTCTTCTAAGTGTAGAGACCCAAGACCAGGAAAAGACTGCTTTGTGAACACTGCAATAATAACCACTTTCCACTACTATAATATCCTTTGGCTGTTGTTTCCAGAACATTGCTTTCTTTATGAAGGTGTCAGCCAAAAGAGTTGAACTCTGAAATATTTGAAGAGATTTATTCTGAGCCAAATATGAGTTGACCATGGCCTGGGACACAGCCCTTGGGAGACCCTAAGAATATGGGTCCAAGGTGGGCAGGGAGCAGCTTGGTTTTACATATTTTAGGGAGACATGAGACATCAATCAGATACACTTAAGGCATACATTGGTTTAGTCCAGAAAGGCGGCAGTTCGAGGTTTTGAATAGATTTTCTGTTTGTCATCGGGAATTGGTTATCACTAGAAAGGAATGTCTTGGCTATGGTAAGAGGTTGTGGAAACCAAGAGTGCCCTATTCAAGGAGGGAGTGCATTCAGATGGTTGCTGGGGGCCTTTGAATTTTATTTTTGGCTTACAAGGAGGGTAGGGAGAAGATCAAACATGGACCTTAGGCCTTAAGGGGCCCTTTAGTCTGTGCTGTGGTAAGGGGTATCTTCAGGGACAGGAGGGCTTTAGAACCAAGTTTGGATTAGGTGGAGAACAGGGGGAAACTTGGCAGGCAGAGAGTGCTTACACAAAGGTATAGAAGTGAAAGCGCATGGAGGGTTTGCAGGGCACTGGTTCTAGGTGGGTTTTATTGGTTTTTGTTTTTTTAAGATGGAGTCTCGCTCTCTTGCCGTGGCCAGAGTTCAGTGGCATGACCTCGGCTCACTGCAACCTCCACCGCCCAGTTTGAAGCGTTTCTCCTGCCTCAGCCTCCCATGTAGCTAGGATTACAGGCGTGCACCACCATACCTGATTAATTTTTGTATTTTTAGTAGAGATGAGGTTTCACCATCTTGGCCAGGCTGGTTTTGAACTCGTGACCTTAAGTGATCTGCCTGCCTTAGCCTCCCAAAATGCTGGGATTACAGGCATGAGCTGCTGCAACTGGCCTGGTTTGATCTGAGAGAGACAGACGCATCTATGTTGCCCTGGCTACAGTGCAGTGGCTATTCACAGCTGTGATCATGGCACACTGCAGCCCCAAACTCAAGGTGGGCTCAAGCTGTCTCTTCCCATCTCAGCCTTCCTGGTAGCTAGGACCACAGGCATGATCCACCACACCCAGCTAGTTCTAGGTGTTTTGAGTAAGTTAGACACTTGATGAGCTCTGTGTATAAGAGACTTGGTGACCTGCTTAGACCCAAACTAGGGCAGTGGAATGAAAACTTCTCATGGGAAGTGACAGTTTATTTTCTTCACTTATTGGTAAATGAAAGCTAAAAAGCTGAATTTTCCTAAGTAAACTAGAAAGAACATGGAGTGTGTGTGAGTAACTAGGATGTTTGTGTTTATGTTTACAAAGATCTTTTATCTACAGTGGTTGTAGATATAAGTAATAAAAATGAACAAGAGCAGTATTCTAACGTGGTTACCTTCCAAGGCTGGAAATTTAACCAGGCGTTGAAATGTTGAAAATTTCTGTTAGAAAAAGATGAGCATAGGAATTAATGGTGGACACTGAAACCACAGTTGAACTGTAACAGGCCAACATGATTACTCAGTTGCAGTGCACATGTTGGCTGGTTGCCATATGCTCTGTAAGTGCAGCTTGGAAGTCTTTTTAAGATCCATGGAAATACTCTGTTATCTCTGACCTTTGATCTCTAAGTTCCATTTCTGGGCATTTGTCCTTAAGGAATGGAAAAGCAGGGAAACAAAAGCTAGTCATTGCAGCAGTACAACTGGAAACAACTGAAAATATAATGAGAGAATTGTAGAGTGCTGGATAGAATGTTGTGAGTCTATTCAAAATGATTGGTGTGTTGTAGTATGGAAAATGCCCAAGCTAGGGGGACACATTTAAAATGGTGGGTACACTCTGTAATTATCAAATATGTTGATTGACAAGGACAGGAGAGTTTTTTGAAAAGGACAGATGAGAAGTGTAATATAAACCTAAGCCTTTGAAACATAGAAACATTTAAAAATATAGTTGCTTTGAATTTGAGTGGACTAATGTAAAACAAGAATTGTGTGGATTTGCTGTCTTGCTGTTAAGGCAGGGTTCTTGAAAAGAGCTGTGTGTCCACTGCCTCATTTAATTACTCCTCACAGTCCTGCTGCTTCTCTCTTTGCTGAAAATGCTTCAGGGGTGGAATGTCTGTTCTTAACCCACTGTGGGTGGCTTCATAAATCACCTCCTTACTGAAGTGTGCTTGTTAGGCCAATTGGTTATCAAATGGGGCACAGTGTGGCTGCCTCTTAAAAAGTTGTAAGGAATGAGTTAGAACTGGATCTGGCATACCAAGTCCTCAGGTATTAGGCATGGCTATGACTGGGTGACTTTAAGCATTGTTGCTTCTACTTGCTTTGTATCCTCAGTGGTCAAACTGGGTGCTCTTGGCTCCATTCAGACTCTTGGGTTCTGCTCTTGACCACTTTGCAGAGTTCTGAAACTTCATGGGCAAGGTAAAGCACCCTGTGACTGGGGGAGAACCATTGAACCTGGAGCATGGGCCTGGCTTTACCCTGGATCCCTGTCCATTGCTTGCTGTGGGCCTTGGTTTCCTTATCTGTAAAATGGAGGTAATGCCTGGATTACAAGGCTGCTGTAAGGATTAGATGAGAGGGAACAGTGAGGATACTTTGTAAATGAAAGTGTTCTTGTCATCACCAGGGAACCATAGACTCGGGAGTCAGGATTTGGGGGCATGTAGGTGTCATTCCACAGCCACATACCAAGCAGCCCTCTCTTAGCTTGGTGCTGGAACTCACTGCCTTCTTAATGGAATTTTCCAAGTGTGTTCAGGGCTGTCTTGCTCCTTACCTACTTGATTCTCTTACAGATCTTACTGTGCCGAGATTGCTCACAATGTTTCTTCCAAGAACCGCAAAGCCATCGTGGAAAGAGCTGCCCAGCTGGCCATCAGAGTCACCAACCCCAATGCCAGGCTGCGCAGTGAAGAAAATGAGTAGACAGCTCATGTGCACGTTTTCTGTTTAAATAAATGTAAAAACTGCCATCTGGCATCTTCCTTCCTTGGTTTTAAGTCTTCAGCTTCTTGGCTAACTTAGTTTGTCACAGAGATTGTTCTTTTGCTTAAACCCCTTTGGAATCTCCCACTTGGAGGGGATTTGTAAAGGACACTCGGTCCTTGAACAGGGGAACGTGGCCTCAAGTGCACAGTTGAGGCTGGGGATGAGGGGCACAGACTTGGTAGGTTGTAAGACACTTGGAGAAGCTGTGGGTCCCAAGCCACAAGTAGTCATTCTTAACCTTGCTTTGTAAAGTTAGGTGACAAGTTATTCCGTGTGATGCTTGTGAGAATTGAGAAAATATGCATGGAAATACCCAGATGACTTTCTTAAACAGATTGTTATGGGATGCCTAGATTGCATCCTGTAACTTCTGTCCAGAAAGAACAGGATGATGTACAAATTGCTTTTCCAGGTAATCCACCACGGTTACTGGAAAAGCACTTTCAGTCTCCTGTAACCTTCCCACCAGCTGCTGCTTCAGGTATAATGTTACAGCAGTTTGCCAAGGCGGGGACCTAACTGGTGACAATTGAGCCTCTTGACTGGTACTCTTAGAATTTAGTGACACGTGGCCCCGATTTTTTTTTTTTTTGGAGACAGGGTCTTGCTGTCACCCATGCTGAGAGTGCAGTGGCACACTCACTGGAGCCTTGACCTCCCCAGGCTCAGGTGATCTTCCCACCTCAGCCTTCCAGGTAGCTGGGACTACAGATGCACACCTCACCTGGGTAGTTTTTGAAGTTTTTTTGGTGGAGATGGTCTAGCCATGTTGCCTAGGCTCTTGAACTCCTGAGCCTCCCAAAGTACTGGGATTACAGGCACCTTACATAGTGTATATAGGTCATGAGGGATATGGGATGTGGTACTTACGAGATGGTAATGCTTACAGGATGTTTTTCAGTAACCATCCGGTCAACTTACCAGAAATGCTGAGCTGGTTATAACAAAGCTTTTCTAGGTCTAGTCTCATTCTAGTAGATAGGCATCTTACAGATTGTCTCCTGTTCAAAACCTAGTCATAAATATTTATAATGTAAACTGGTCATTTTGGGGATTTTTTTTTTTTTCCTGGAGACTGTCATGCTGTCACTCCAGCCGGAGTGCAGTGGCTTGGCTCACTGTAACTTCTGCTTCCTGGGTTCAGGCGACTTGATTCTCCTGAATTTCCTCAGTCTCCTGAAAGCTGGGACTACAGGCCTGCCACCGTACCCAGCTAATATTTTTAGTAGGGACAGGGTTTCGCCATGTTGGCCAGGCTGGTCTCAAACTCCTGACCTCAGGTGATCCGCCCGCCTCAGCTTCCCAAAGTGCTGGGATTACAGGCGTGAGGCACCGCACCTAGCCTCATTTTTGGGATTTCTTACAAATTGACAAGTGCATTCAAGATATTGGTCTAACAATTGGACACGAGTTGTGTAGGGAAACGAAGTAACTTAGAATCTAATCTTTATTAACCTGGGATGTCACAGAAAATACTTGGGCCTGCCACTTGCATTTCTTTGTCCTCAATGCTAAACACTAGACACATTTGAAACCTTCCTCAGAAGGAAACAAACCAACTGGTTATGCCTGGGTGGTGGCATGGAAGATGTGTAATTCCTTGTTGCCCAATTTGCTAATAAGTATTTTGAAATTAGAAATGAAACGAGGTCCAAGCCTGTCCAGTTCCCTACCCAACCCATTTCTCCTCCCTGGAAAAGAAACACATCATCCAAATTTCTGATTCATCGCTGCCACTTAGAAATGAACTGTTTTGAATTTTAAAATGTGAATGACCCAAGTATCTTTTCTTTTTGAGATGCCCGGCCTGAGCACTAACTTCAGGTATTGCTGAATGCAGTGAAGAAACCGGAGTGGTGTCTGCGGCCTCCTGACCTTTTACAGCTGACAGCACAGCCTACTTCTAAATGCTACTAGTTTGTGAGGCAGAGACACCCTCTGAAGGAACCAGACAGACTATGGAGGGATACAGTGTGAAGTCACTGGAAAACTTCCTCACCCTATTTCTTTGGATGACTGTCCTGAGTTAAGGAAGGGGCCCAACTGTTGGCAGCCTCGCAGCTCGGGCTGGGGTCCTTTTGAGTTGGGTCCCTGGAGAAGGCACTGTAAGCCCTGACCAGGAGCGGCAGGGCCCCCAGTGAGATGGTGGAAGGGCAAAAGTAGAGACCTGCAGTGGGCGATGGGGAGGCCTTGGGCTTGGGTGGGCTCCTTTCTCTTAAGTGAGGGCCCACCTCGGTGCTGGGGGGACTAGCTGAGCTCCATTGAGTCTGTACTGGGGGCTGAAGTGGAATCCTTCTGGATGCTTTCAAAGAGGGCAGCAAGTTCAGGGTTGGATCTGATTTGGGAAGAGAAGTCGGCCATGATGGGGCTTTTCCCCACCTCGGGGATGGTCAGCAGGGCAGCCACTGCCCTCATCGCAGAGCGCTTCAGTTCATCTTGCTTTTCAAACTCCTGCTTCACGGAACCAGCTTTGACCTAAAGCAGGAAACAGCAGAAGCAGCCATCCTTTATTGAGCCTGGCCCGCACCACTGCCTCCTCGCCGGTCTTTGGCTTCCTCTTTGCCCCATCATCTTACCCAACATAAATCCCTGCTGTGAGGTCTCCTAAGGCTTCTATCTCACCAGCTATGTCCTAACTCCACCTCCGGGCTTTTACACTGGCTAGTTTCCCCACAGAGGTTCTTTGCCATTCAAATCAGCCTGAGAGGCCTCAGAGCAGCCAATCTATAAAGTGCTCACTTTTTGTTGATTGACAGTGGCAAGTACTGTGTTTCCATACTTACCTCCTATAGACTGCAGGGATCCAGCCTATACTGTGCTTAAACCCAGCTCTTAGCACCATATGACTAGACTGAATGAATGGATCACTGTGATGGTCTTCTAGCAGCCTCCTCCCTGCACTCAAGTCCCTGCCCGGCGATCCGTTCTACAGATGCAGCCAGAGAGTAAGCACCCCAAACTACCTCCTGCAGTTTGTTTCCTCTTCCCCCACCATCTCCCACTTAGGCAGAGGAGCTCAGCAGTTCCTCCACTGCTTATGGACTAAAGTTCAAATTCCTTATGCTGGGCTCTTCCTAAAGAATTCAATGCAGTGGATAACAGCTTGGCATTGGAGTTGCAGAGTCCTCCATTCAAATGGCTCTGCCCCCAAGAGCTGTGACTTCAGGTAACTACATCTTTGAGCCTCATTTCCCCATCTATAAGTAACAGCTGCCTCTTCATAAGATTTGCCAAGAGGATTAAACAACTTGACACAAGTCCACACTCCCTTCTCTGAAGCCCCTGGAGCCAGATGTGCTTTGGAATCCAGGACATTTTGGGTTTTAGAAAGGTAATACTGTGCAGATTACATTCCCGGGGGGTCTTGTACAATACCCTGTCATCAAATACATGAATACTCTACTACATGTATGAGTACTGTGAGTAGTAAGGTATCCCTCAGTATCCATGGGAGTTTGGTTCCAGGATCCCAATGGATGCCAAAATCCTCAGATGTTCAAGTCCCTTATATAAAAGTGGTACATTGGCGAGAATTAAAGATCATAGCCTCATGCCACTTCAAGTCAAGTTTTGTGACAAACAGGTTCCTAAAAAGCTTTTGGTTGTCAGAGCTTGGTAGATTCAGAATCATCGGTAAGGACTGTGGGTGTGGATGTATCCACGCTCATCCCGATGCCCAACAGACAGCATCCTCCGCATGGCCAGATGAGTGGCTCTTGTAGAAACTCAGAGCAGAGCTTCTCTTGCCACCTCGGCCTACTGCAAGAATGTTCTGGCACTGCAGTGCCATATATACCTCCCCTCTTAAGAACTGGGACTTTTTGCCGGGCGCGGTGGCTCACGCCTGTAATCCCAGCACTTCGGGAGGCCGAAGTGGGTGGATCACAAGGTCAGGAGATCAAGACCATCCTGGCTAACATGGTGAAACCCCGTCTTTACTACAAATACAAAAAATTAGCTGGGCATGGTGGCAGGTGCCTGTAGTCCCAGCTACTCGGGAGGCTGAGGCAGGAGAATGGCATGAACCCAGGAGGCAGGCGGAGGTGGCAGTGAGCCGAGATTGCGCCACTGCACTCCAGCCTGGGCAATAGAGCCAGAACTGGGACTTTCCTTGGTGCCACAGAGCTCAGAGAAAACTAGAAATGATTTGGCCACAGAGACTGTCAAAACTGGCCTGGCCCTGTAGAAGCATTTTTTTGGATTGACTCAATAGTAAGCATATGTTAAAAATGTAAACTTACAAGGCAGGTCTCTATGAATAAACTACCAATTTTAATGTTTTATCCACAAAAGATTTCATTTTTGAAAATCACCACTCTATGGGTATCTCTCCTCTTTAAGCGCCAATCTAAAACACTGCTCTCCTTTTGGTAATGATTCCCATTAAAAAACCCAGATGTATTCTTCCATTCAACAGGTATTTACTAAGTACCACCTAGAGCATAGATGCCAGGCTCTGCTCCCAACACCAGCTTTCCATGAGAGCTTCCACTCCAGATCCCTCCTCCAGACCCTTCAGGCACTCCAGTCTAGCCTAGGGTTGCCCTAGATCAATCATCTGACCCAGCTTCCCAACAAGGAGGTGAGAGATTGACAGTAGGGAACCTATCAGGCTCAATGTTATATCTTTAGTATCTCCCATGAGGCTTAGCACCCAGGAAGTGTTTAATGAATGGAAGAAGAGACAGAGATGGGTCTGAATCCAGCTCTGCAATTTACTGGCTGTGTAGCCTTGGCCAATAACAACCTCTCAAAGCCTCTGTTCCCCTGTGTATAAAATGACAATAAAAAGCACTTTATAGGGCAATGATAATGATTAAATGAAGCACTTTCACAATATCACCTGCACTGCAGGAAGTGCTCAGTAAGGGGTAACTGAACAACTGGCCAAGGACTCAGTAGGTGCTCCAGGGCCTGGGCTAGGGCTGGGCCAGGGACTTACCTTGGCAGTGCAGGTGGCCCTTAGTGGCTCAATGAGTCGGTCCACCCTCTGCAGGACA